TACTACTCCTACTACTCCTACTATTCCTACTACTCCTACTACTCCTACTACTCCTACTACTACTACTACTACTACTACTACTACTAATACTACCTACAGGCAGGTTCACAGTACAGTAATTCTAGTAGCAGCAGCAGCAGCAGTAGCAGAAGGAGGAAGAGGAGGAGGATACAGCGCAGGAAGGGGATGAGGAGGAGTAATGGTAGTTGCAGCAACAGTTATCCTGCTCATCCTGCTCGTCACAACAGCAGTAAAAGAAACACGCCGGTAGTGCAGTAGTAGCGGCAGTCGCAGCAGCGGTGGCGGCAGTAGCAGCAGTAGTAGCACCAGTAGCAGTAGCAGGAGCGCAGCGCCAGCCGTGGCCGTTGTCGTAGCAGTAGGAGCAGGAGTCGTAGTCGCACAACAATCATCGTCGTAGTAGTAGTAGTAGTAGTAGTAGTAGTAGTAGTACTAGTAGTGGTAGTAGTCGTGGTGGTGGTGGTGGTAGTTAGTAGTAGTAGTAGTAGAGTAGTAGTAGTAGTAGTAGTAGTAGTAGCAGCAGCAGCAGGAGTAGTAGTAGTAGTAGTAGTAGTAGCAGCAGCAGCAGCAGTAGTCGTGGTAGTAGTAGCAGTAGCAGTAGTAGAAGTACTAGTAGTCGTCGTCGTAGTAGTAGTAGCAGTCGTATGAGTGGTAGTGGCAGGAGCGTTCGTAGTAGTCCTAGTAGAAGCAGAAGCAGCAGCAGGTCGTCGTCCTCGCGGTGGTAGTCGTCCTCGTAGCCGTCGTCGTGGGGGTCCACTAAACAACGCTTCTTGGGAAGCTTACCGCATCAGTGACACCGTGGACCAACTAGATTTCAAAAAACAAAGCCACCGCTCAACGCCTCTCGCATGCCAGCTACCAAACGGTGTAACCAACCTGAGATGCCAGGCCACAGAGGTGCTGAGGATAGCCTTCGCAGCTCTCTCGCAGTTTCGTTCCACCAGCTCAAGTTGCCACCCTGAGTGGATCTCTTGAAGCCTAACAACTGTCTTGAGTTCAAGCTCGATGCGAAAGAATTCGTGACAGGAGTTCCCTTGCATCGGGCTTGAACTGAAAACAGTCGTTAGGCTTGGGCTGGCTACATCTTGACGCTTGACTTGGATGAGGACCTGTTTGACCCGGTTGTTTGCTGGGGTGTCTCTCTTGAGGGGCCAAGGGCAGCTTCGTGAGATGTCGTGATTCTGAGACTTTGGGTCCATATGGGTCCTTACATGTTTCCGGCTGCTCCGGAGACGAGTTATTCTAGCAGGGGGATGTATCAACTCGGCGCAGAGGTTTGGGGCTTCCGGCTGCGTCCCACGGTGAGAATCTGCCGTGCACGTGCCTGCGAACTCGGTGCAGCTCAGCGGCTGTTTCAGGATCCGTGTCCACCTCGTCCCAGGTAGTTGACGAAGTCGTTGAATATGTGTACTCCTGCCATCGACCGCCGTCTACACATGCGGTGACATGCGATGCGAAGGGCAAAGGCCCTACGTAAATCACTGGTGGATGACATCCGAAGATCTGACTTTTTGTTGCATTGGGTCCTCCTCGGAAGATGTCTGGTTTGCACCATCGCTATCATCAGTGTCACCTAGGTCCCACATCGTGATCTCGAAGAACCGCTTCTGCAACTGAAGGAACGACTATCCAGAAGTCTAGTCGCTGTCGTCTGTCGATTCGCTGGTGGAGAAGGACTTCGTTGAAGTGGTCGAAACGGTTCGCGAGGTTGCCCGTGTGGTTGTGGATGATTCCTCCTGACACAGAGTAAGCTGTGCGCACCGTCACAGTCTTGCGGGCTCCTGCGGGCAACCAAGAATCTTACGTCCCCTGAACATCCGGATGAAACGCTACAGCTACTGCTGATTGGGTGAAGCACCGGCGTGGATCTGCCATTACGGCAGCTAAGGAGACAGCATGCAAATTCCAAACACGAATTCTCAGTCCTCTTCGGTGGGGGTTTTCGATCGTGTTGTTGTATTGTCACTGTCTTCCTCTTCGTCGCTGTCGTCAGCAGAAGTTGTGGTCGTAGAAGGGAGAGGACGCCCCGTAGCATCGTCTCGGCTAGTGTTCGTGGCCTCTTCGCCAGCAGCCCATGTTTGCGTGGAGGTTCTGGTGACGGTCAATGTATAAGTTGTTGTCGGCGCTGCGGTCATCGCAGTGTCCTCAAGAGCCCAACGCCCAGTGCTCCAACAGCATGGAACTATGATTGAAGATTTCCTCTCATCACCTGCAGAGAACTTGACCTGCATTTTGGGGGCAGTTGCTCTCAGTGAGGCGACAAGTTTCGAGGTGTCGGAAGGAGGGCTGCGAGATACTTTGATGAATGTGGCCAGTGCCCTCATTCCGGTGACACGATGCATGGCTGCTAGAATATTCAGACATGTTCAGCATCTTGAGACAGTTGATTCGCCGACAATAGGTGGAACAGAGCGAGGATGACAATGATGAAGATGAGATAAGTCTTTCTTTCCGTTGTCACGACTGCTTAGCTGTTTCTAGAGGACGGGGAACCGCTACATTCGAATGCAACCCGCACAACAAACCTCATTTCAATAATCCATCCATACCCAGTTCCTGCTTTGTGGTGCTGATGCGTGCTTCTACTTTTCTCACAAGCCTGTGTGACTAGCATGCTGTAAATTTCATCTGAGGCCCGGTCGTTGCTGGCATTTGCCAAATCCGTCTCTGTGACGTTAATTTCCGAGATGACCACGGGCGTAACAAGACTGGGGAGCATGTAGGCGACCTTGATCATTGGTTCACAAATTCCAACGCAATCATTCTGTGGCCAACAAACTAAGGCCTTCTGTCACGACTGGATAAGAACTTGACGTCTGAAGCACTGTCCCATAGATCTAAACATGCGAACCAAATCGGGACTGTCAAATGCCATTGTCGGATGTGGCCGCCATTTAGGGAAAGCCTGCATGTCTACACAAACCTGATCCTTGAATATGATACCGGCTGCGTCCAAGTAAGTCTACGTTAGCTTACATGAACATAGATATAGAGCAGTAGCACGGGCTACAACTCCTGCGCGCACGCAAGCCAAGGAGCTCTTGGAATTGGTAAGTCAGCATCACAGGGCGCAACTCTTATGCCTCGGCAGCCTTTAGAAACTCTGACATTCCAGAAGCACCACCCGGAACCCTAAGAAATTGGACCTAGCAGCTTGGCTGAGCACCCAATCATCGACCCGAGTCAATTCAGCTGAAAGACCGTAGGTGGCGCGAAGCTTTGCACCGTTAAGCTGGCCACATCCGATCCTTCCGCGCAGGCTTGGAGTCATGTAGCTACTGAGTACGGGTTCTAAGGAAGGCAAACAGTAACGGGAAATGTTTCTAGTGTTATACTACAAATACCATACCAAAAAGGATTCATAACACTGTTATTGTTCCGCGTTTAGATGCAGTATCTACACGTCCTTTCACCTTTCCTTCCTAAGCAGGTTGTGGTGGTGGACACAAGGGTTATTCAGGCTTTGTCCTTACCGAACCTTCTGAAAAATTCTGGCCCCATAGCAAAGCGCCCCCCCAAGCCGCCAGCGCGTGCTTTCGCGGTGGATGGGTCTAGTACCGCAAGCAACGGCAACAGCATAAACATCAAAACCGACACAAATACAAGCAGCAACCAACAAATTGCAAACACCAACGAAAAATCACAACAAACACCAAGAAACACCACCAAGCGATAACGAACAACATCAACAAACACGAACAAACAACAACAAGCAGCAACAACAATAACAACAGACAACAGCACACACCAAACAGCAAACAACAGCCAACAACCAACAAGCAGAACCAACGAACACCATACAACAAACAACAAACAACACACAAACAACAACAACAACAACACCAACAACAACAACAACAACGACGACAACAGCAACAACAGCAACAACAGCAACAACAAGAGCATCACAACCACAACCACCTATAAGTAAGAATCACCAACCAAAAACAAAGAACAACCAACAACAAACAAGAAAACACTTAAACATCATCAACAATCACCACAACAACCACGACATCAGCAGCAACAACAACAACAGCAACGTCAATACAATCTAGCTCAATGCAAACAGCAACTCCACATAACATTCATCCAACATCAGACAGCAAAGACAAACGACAACGACAACAACACCAGCAGCAGCAGCAGCAGCAGCAGTGGTGCAGCGGCAACACCACAACAACAACAACACCAGCGGCAAAACGAACAACAACGAACAAACAAACAACACACAACAAACAACACACAGCAAACGACAAACAACAGCAACCAACACACAACACACAACAACAACAAACAACAA